CCATATGTGAGTTACTATTTTCAGCGATTGTAGAATTTGATCAACTGATAAAGCAGTCTGTTTGGACTGAATCATCTGTAGCCCAGCAATCCTAGCCTATAGCAATTTTAGCCACATTTTTATACATGCATTAGCATGAAGAGAAGTATCGAAAAGAAGCTTCTTCGCTGATTTCTGATCTTTGTTTGCTCAATCGGGGTAGCGTCACTCTTCTTGCTATCATTTCTGTGGACGTGGCCAAAGGTGTATCTCTCCGGAAAAGCAGGTAATCCAACACTACTTTCCCCGCACTTTCCGGCGTGGGCCTGAGATCGTTTGTCGCTCTGAACCATTTCAGGCTTGTTCCGTTGGCGTCCAGCCGCTGGTTTGCCGATCTTCGTCCCAGGTGCCAGTGTTATCTCCTTCTTGGTTTGTTTCCGTCGCTTTTCCACCCTGCCTGCAATGCTTGGCTTTCGCTCCACTACCCCATAAGTTGTAGGCAAAGCGGTGAATGTAGCACATTTTATGAACACAAAGACCGATGCTAATGACAGTTGGTGATGTTCCGAAAGTGGATACTACATCACAACCGTTGTGACGATTTTCATGATCTCAGGTGGTGTATAGATCAAACACAAACTGTCAATCAATTTGAGCGAATACCTGTCCACCAGGGGTGAGTCCATACGTGCATCTGCACAGAATGGCATTTATTTGACAGGCCTGATAATCTTCACTAACAAATGGGTCAATACTGTGGCATGCAGCCAACGATCCAAGTAACGAACGCTAACTTGAGTGACAGTTAAATAGAGCTTTATAGTTGGAGATGGATAGTACTAGATAGATATCAAAATGGCTGCCGTCAATTATTGTTCTACCATCGACACACCTTCGTTAGCTCCATCTTCACAAGGTTATGCTGCGTAGCGACAAAATGAGCCACCTTTCGGTCGCGCCGCTCCAAAACCACTTACCAAAGACTATAGACACATTACTAACTGGAAACGATCAGACCGGACAACAGTCGCCAATCAATGCTAATTCATACAACGCGCCAGGTGCAATGGCTTTCATGTTTCGGAAAAATTTGGCACCCTCAATTCGGAGGACATGTTAATGTCCTCGTATTTAATTGAGGGTATTCGGCATCAGCTTACAAGTCAGATAGTCTTCAGTGCGTCTGATAAAAACTGGGCGGTCGTTACATCCACTTAGCACTGGTTAGTAGTGTGCATCCCTCAGGTCCACCATGAACGAATCCCATAACCTCTCGAAAGGGATGGTTTACGCTACCAGTCACTAGGTAACATGGGCGAACAAAGAAACCGGTACTGTCGACAAAGGGTTAAGATAGGCGGCGCTTTGTGCAGGTTACCGAAAGTTTGGCATCTTAGATGTAAAAGTTTCGTCGTTATGAAGTGAGGCACAAAGAACAATATTCACCTGAAAGAACCATTCAAGTTACGCTTATGGATCATGCCTACTGTCGTTTGATTGAAGACGAAGTCGCAGCTGTAATAACTTATCCCAAACCACAAGAGGACTGATAACATGAAGCATATGAGGTGAAACCAATAGAGCTGATCATTGGATGACTACGGAGTAAAACTGCTTTCTGAAACAGTCCCATAATCAGTCGGAGGTTAACAACAAACATCGATAGTTTATCACTTGGTACCTGGCACTTAAAGTGCAACAATTAATCAGTACTGCTATCAAGGCCTACACCTGACATGACAGGTAGAACAATGGGGCGAAAATGGTAAAAGCGTACTCTAACGGATGTTCACGGATTAAAGAGTGTGTCAGTCAGTAGGTCGTGACGCTCAAGCAGACTCGAAAGCAGATAAGCCGACTCATATGCTATGGAGAAGACAGATGAGCTGGCAAATGGGCAGCGTTGCATTGTCTCGTGGGGAAGGCGGAATACATTAGTTTGCGTAACTAGATGAGTATATCGTCGCCGCTTTTTGAAAATCAAAAGTAAAATTGCAGAGTGGAAGATCACTCCCCGACTGATAGGCTCAAACAGAAGAAAAATGCCGGTGACATCCTAAGCGTTTATACTGCGTGGCCAAATTCAGCTTGTGCTCCTTCAGGTTAGCACGGTAGGTAATTATCCAGAAGTACAGTAAACAATTTTAGACTTATAGTGGACTGGGCAAATCATAACGAGTTCACACTACATACACCTGTCCACCGTGCGGTGTAGGACAGCCTGTATATCCTTTTAGTCGCCTTCCAAATATGGAATCTCAAAGGTAGCAAGACCATGTTTCTGCTTGGTCTGCAGGTCCTGAATGACACATCTCATATGCGGCCTAAAAATAGCGATAGATATTTGCAAAAAGATGAAGGAACTGTATCCCCCAAATACTCTCCACAAGAAGCTAAAAGATTTGTCAGCTCATTTCGGGGAATGCTCGGGCCGTCTCTAATAGCCGAAGATACTTTTGTGCTTGCACTGATGAATCGTTTTCCTAGGAAACGCACTACAAAAGATAGTCCTTCAGCCGGCACTTGTTAATGCTCAGCACTTTGCGCATCTATTCCTCAACTGGAACTTGTGCTACATTGACTACTTGGGAGCATCGGCGATGTCGGCTTTCAGTGCTACCATAAAGTGGAACCATCAGCGATCTGTAGAATAACTGAGATGATTAATCTTACAAGGTTTTTTATGACAATCAAAAGAGCGTGGACGCCTCACGGAATTGCAGTCAGGTCGAATAGGTCGCTAGAAATATCATGTTTTGATATTATTGAAGAAATTAATTTTTCCAACCCAGGGCAAATTCACAGATTCTACAGTCCTGGAGGATTGTACTGAAGAAGAGGATGACTGCTTAACAGTCAAACAGCTTTGTGAAGTTCAGATAGCTGGCACCAAATCCCCCACCAACCTTGAATGCAAGTGAATCCAAGTTGCACAGTATATATCCGGGTTCGCATTGCACTTCCAATTTTGGGAAATGTCTGATGCTTTGGCACACAATTGCCTCTCCGCCTGGCCCAAGAGTTATTTTGCTATTATCGTTTCTGTGACTCAGGATAGCACCAGAAGGAGTGTCCATGAGCAGTTATAAACGGGTCCAACACAGTCGTCCCCTGTAAGTATGAACGATTGTGTCATGCATCCAATGAATAGGAATGTGTAGCTCATGGAAGCATCGTTGAGAAACCCATACAACCGTTCATTGTTAGTGCAGTTAGGCGAATGACGTTTGTATTATGGGAGCCGCACTTGCTCAATGAACTAAGAGTATCTTGCGTTCACCAAAAGTTGTGAAAAAAGAAGCAGTGAATTGCTGACGAAAGTGTGCTCTGAGACAAGGAGGATAAGCCGGATTAAAGTGTCACCGTTCAACGGTTCTCGGTCCGTGAGGATTTGGCGCTCGTTTGTAAGCTGTGTACTAAGCGGGGCATCCACGCTGCATACTGCGGAGTATTTTGCAGTAGTTGTAAATTGGTTTGGAGTATGGACAAAATTCCGTTGGTAAGCCCTGTAGTTTCTTTATTTCATTCTCGCTCACTTGTAGAGCAGCGGCGATCTGACCAACGATGGTTCCGATTCTCTGGGTCAGTTCGATACATCTTTGATTAAAATTGTATAAGCGAATACGCAAAAGATGCCATAAACGGAAGTACTTTTAACACATAACATGTCGATGATCAGGAAATTGAGTCGAACGGATGTTCTTAACGGCGTCTATATAAACAAAGGTAAAGTATCACACAAACACACTTGAGATTTAACGGTAACTCAACAAACATTGTAGAGGCGGTTGGAAGGACGAAGCCTGACGCTTAATCACTTGATTAGGCCCCTAGCGGATGGCTCTAGGAAACTCGGGCTGTATGAGGGCCAGCTCATTAATGCTGCAAAATTGTGAGGAATGAAATCACTAAAAGAAAGGAACTTCAAACTGAGTGAATACCTCTTTTCAGCTATTTTTACTTATTCTGTTTCAAATGGACCCACTTTGTAAGCGTTTTTCGTTGGAAAGGGTAAAGTACAGAGGGAAAAGATAAAAATCTAACCAAAGCCTTCCGGTTGGAAATAATCTGGCAAACTTTAGAGGAGAACAACTCCGACTGCTAACTATATCTCGAGTCTTGTAACCGGTAACTTCAATCATCCGGTAGAAGATGATGGGAGACCTGTTGGCTTAGACTTTTAGTCGAAGTTCCTTTACGTCCTCATTGAACTAAAGTTTGGCAAGTTATCGTCATTCGCAGAGCTAGTCTAGGTAATTACCTGGCATTGCTACCGAGACTGATTGGTATCCATAATGGTCTGTTGGTCGTGGTCGTGGTACTGTTCGACCAATGAAATGGGGATGCACTGGCTGTGTCTTCGTCTCGCCCGACAAGAATAGGGATAGTTTAAGGATATATACCATCGAATCAGTTGTCAACATATTGCCTCATCTAGTATCCCGAAAGCCAAGATCAAAACTGTCCGCATATGAGCGGGTGCCTAGAGCACCTACTTTTTGCAATATGCTTACTGCCGGCGTGTTTGGTAAAATGAGCAATGGGCCGTTTGATGTAGCCGATATATTTCTGGTCCGCACAACGTCCCAATTTAGGTTGTGTTACTAGTCAAAATGGCTGGTCATGTACCAAAGCCGGTTCCGTAGGACCGATATGGCTGTGATACTATAATATTATTCCCTGAGAGTGGCCCAACCCAAGGCGTTATTTCAGTGCCTCACCACGCAGCCTAAAAACGCCTACAAGGTCCTCTAATAGAGATGATTCCCTTGTGAGCATAATCTATTTTGATCAGAGGACTTCCGGTGGCTCTGGACCAAATACCGGATCTTAGGAATCCATAGCTGAGGTTCCTCAATGTATCTGAGAAGCAAACTTGTTTCAGCTTGTCAAAATGCAGCGAAAACCGTGGTAGCTTATCTTGTGACCAAGCATGCTGATAAAAAGTAGGAGTTATTGCACTGCATCGGAATATGCAACGTTGTTAGCGCCTCGAAGGGAATTTAGCAACAAAGACTCACCTTATCACTGAATCCCAGTCACGCGCTGCTTGATAGGCCACCACCGCATCCTTGAAAGCCCCGTCGGCCTCACGTGCTTTGGCGTATTGCAGGTGAAGTCGCGGAGCGTTGGTGATGTGGCTCAGTAATTCACCGGCTCGCTGGAAGTTTCTGCACCGAAGATACATGGCCACAGAAGACTCATAAAAACCAGCCTTTTCGTACAGGGCTGCGGCCTCCTGCCATTGCTGTTACAAAATCGTAAACAGATGACGCTTTCTAAGAGGCTCTCATAGCCGAGCGCCACAGAGCGCGTGTCATGTGTTTCGGGATGGCATAAGAATGTGAGTGGCACTAGTGAAACCAAAGCATGTTGAATTACTCGTAACTCAGTATTAGGGTATTTTGGGACTGAAATGCTCCCGGCAGCAGACGCTTATGTTGCGATAAATGGTTGTATAGTTGGAACAGTGGTTTGGTTGAGATATTTGAACACATATAAATTTAGCCACTTATCTTTTTGTGTGCCAATCCTCACAGCATCCAGCAACAGCCTGGAAATATCTATGTATTTATTTAATTATCATTGTCCTTACGTTCAAGTTACTTGGAGTTGTCAATTATAAAAGGTGTATACTTATTTTCCTAATTATTATTATTATTGTTTCAGCATCTGCTTCACGTCTGTATTTGTGACGGATTTTGTTGCTGTAATTTGAGAACGCAATACTCTAGCTTTCAAGTACTTCATGGATAATTTACGCACGTTCAAAAGGGCTCTCTTGCGGCGATCGAGTTTAAGAGAAATCGCGATTCTACAATGTCATCTTTAGCGCTAGCCTCTCATTTCCTAGTAGGTTGTTCCTCACCCTTCCCTCAATTGGAATTAATCGATAACCCAAAGGTAATCGTCACTGGGTGACCCAGTCAATTAGTGCACTGGCGTAACTCATCATACCCGTCGCCCTGTCCAGCCACGTTGCTCATCCGATTGGTGTGAGCAAGAGGCCAAAGGCAGAAAAGTACACACTGCCAACTAGCTCAATGAATCAGGGAACGAGCCCATGCTGAGTAACAGAAGGCAAGTAAACGCGAATGCAACAGAGCTCAATGCAAAGGGTGCTGTGGGGCGCGAGAATGTACTCAAAACTCAAATTAGTGTTAGCCTGCCCAGGCTGTTCCAACTGGTACAATCCAAAGTGCGCTAAATCTTTCCACTGAGAGATGAAAGATCGAAATATCTCTCAATGTGTCCTTTGCATTTGTGTTAACCGTTCGACCATCCCATTCGCGAAGTGTGCACTTACCCTAGTTCGATGATTTGCAGCAGACGTTGCACAGCGAATGAACGCTAACATAACATCCTTTGAAGCTGGTATGTGTCAGGACAGCGTAGGGGCCCCTAAGAAAAAGAACGGTGAACAATTTGCTTCACGCGAACCACGGACAGCAAAGTCCCCATTACTACTGTCTCCTCCAAATTTGGTAGATAGCCAGGCGAAAATAGACCAGGGCTTAGTCAAGCGGTACTCAAGAACACGAAATTCGGACACTACCCGAAGCTGTCGCAGAACACTTTCCACCGGTTTTAATAACTTCGGTCACTAACAAGGATGGGGAAGCCAAACACCAGTCCTCTGCATTTGCAAATCAAGGGTCCCGGGTGCTGTTCAAGTCCCCCCGGGAATTCAGGCAACTACGCAGAGTTCACCGCAAGGGGCACTCGGGCAACCACAGTACCGGTCTCCCCTATTGCAAACACTGCTAACGCGAATAGATTGACAAACAGTAAACAGTCATGAGTTGGCGGAAAACTAGGACAAACAATAACCCGACCTTACAGCTCAACAAAATGGGGATTTAATAATAACGACATGACTGCTGTATGCACAAATGTCCCCGAATCTGCCGCCAGCACATTTCGGGGTAAGTTGTCTGGCGACCAAGACCAGTAGAACTCCTGATGCATTTTGTTGAACGTGAATGCCGAACCCACAGACATAAAAGAAGTTACTCGCCACCCGAAATCTACACAATATGGCACACTTAGACTTCGTTGAGCAAAATTAGTCCCGGCATTGATTTAGCACACGTTTCACTCCCTGCAAGTGAGCTACAACATAGATCCTATGGAATACGCATCTATCCTGACTTCCTAAGTGCGTGTAACAATCTCAGAAACATCTTGGAAGGACATAGCAAACAAGTTCACCTAAATACAATTCTTCTCCATGGCGTGCCAGAGCTTCCTTTCCATGATAACCAGAGGCCGGAAATCAAGAGTTCTAAAATGACGGATCATTCGAGAAACGATTTCCTCGGACACTGTTGTGGCATGATCGCTCGAAAGACTAACTCTCTCAACAAATAACCGAAGATACAGATCAAAAATGCTTAGAATCGTGATTCAGTCAGAACGAACAGTAATGGATGTTTTAGATCGATGATGGAACAATCGGAAGGGAATTCCAGTTGAACTTTGGTTAAAGGTTGCAGAAACTTTGCGGAGTCCAGAGATGAAATAATCTGAAATAGCAAACCTACCGGAGCTTCACTCCACTGCCAATTCACTAGATTCCAATATAAGTCTAGAAAATGAACGAGACGTACTTTGGCTAAATCAAGCAGCCGACGATGTGGCTGTATCCCATCAAACTAACGAAGAACGGCCAAGTTTATGTTGTCTGGCGTTCTCTTACACCTGACTTCTTTAACCCCCTATGGGTTCGTAGAGACTGAGAAACTAACCTGCTATGCTACCAACGCTCAAAGCTTCATAGCCGGCCCGTAGCCCAAAGGTAGCGAGCTTGTCTTGCAATCCGACGGCGCAAGTTCGAGCATGCGTAAGGGCAGGGTGACCCTCACAGTATCCTTGGGCCGCGTGAGACCCGTGGTGGTTGCGCTTCAGCCAAGCGTCGGTACTACCTACAGGCGTACTGCTGATTCCTGCCAAAGCCCTTTCCCTAAGCTGGTCGAACTGCTGGATAGCCAAATACCTAAGAAATGCGATCTCCTCGACATCCCTAAGGCATGGCTGCACGGTGGAATAACGGGCGCGTAAGTTGCGCTTCCTTGCATGTCGCTCGTCCACAACAACAAGCTTAGAGAAATAGAAGAGGCAATTCTGTATTACCTAAGGGACTTACAATGCGAGGCCGTGCAAGATTCATACTAGCATTTTCCCTATCCTTTTTGGCCCTGTCGGAAGTCAAAAGGCAGACACTTACCTTAGCGCCTTGGTGTACCGCCACCCATCCCATACACACGAAATCGCCTGCCAAAACCCGAGTGCTCTAAGTCACACACACTAACGGGACTATACACTATGTTGTGTAGGCCTCCGAGAACCAAGAGGGCAGTCTGGGCGGAAATCACAAATCTGTTATTAAAGAATAAGGGGGCATCTTAGGTACAATACATCACTATTCACTGGAACTCATTTTAAGTTGCCGCATTTTTTCGGTCACTTGCCTGAGTTCATTGGCTGGGTCCATTCTGATCTCAGACGTTTGGACTAGTCTTTGCTCAGCCTGAATAAAGACGCTCTATTTTCACACCCCAAACTCATTTTCGTCGGTTCATTCGGTGCTTGCACCGATTGGTTATTCATCCGTATGCTCTGTCGCTTTCGCTCGCTCGGCCTATCAGCTCTCATCATGCGATGGGCACTGAGCTCTAAATTTGTGTCCCCTGTGAGCGACCTCTCTGACTTTGACCGGGACAATGACAGTGTTTGACTCACCACTAGCAACCGGATTCCGCTTTGTTCACCCTGCCTGGCTAGGTGTGGCGGTTTTGTAGTTGTGATGCTAATCGGTTTCCCCGACCACTGGCCAGCTACCATCACACACTAGCATCCGTTATATGTGACCTTGAGTTACATCGCTTAGAAGCCTTTACCATGATCGGAGAACAATGCAAAGCCGATCTGTAAAAACTCGTAACCTGTGTTCTATTTAACAAGCACGTCATTTTGTCCACTCGTTTCAGAACAGATAACAGATCATCTGTGCTGGATCATGTGCTCGCCAACGAGGAACATATGATTGATGTGTTGGTTATAGGCTGCCCGTTGAGCTGCAGTGATCAGACAGTCATCAATTAAAATTGCATCGGCTTTGAGTAACATCAAATTGAAAACCACGAGCCGGTGCACACCATCCACCTCTACGACGACTTGGTCGAGCTTGTCAGGGCTAAACCTGGTCGTACTTTGTTGGCAGGCTCTAATTCGTCCATAAATTCAAACAATTGGTTAAAGATGTTCTGGAGACAATAGTTTGGAATAGACCTTAAATAGCTTTTTTCTTAAGGCAACAGGTTTCAGCGTTAGCCATGAACAGTTTTACAAACACATCAGTGGTATTGAATGTCGAGGCAAGGATTTCCTTCGCTCCGGTTGGTTGATGGCTAAACATGAGCGGCTACAAAAACAACAAGGAAAAAGAAAAGAATCAGGAAAAAAGCGTTGCAGAAGCAACGTGCCGCAATTTCAAACAGTCTTTATTCAGGTAATCTACTAGCTTTTGTCGCTTTGCTGCAAAGACACAGCTGCTTCATTCTTACTGTTGATGCTTTAGTGCAGATGACATTCATGCGCAACCACAGCTTTTGGTTTATCGAAACCATTCGTCCAGAAGAAATAGCAGCAATACAACTGACAGAAACTTCCTCTCAGAATGTACAACGCTGCTTAGACCAGAACCAGATTCCTGCCATGTGCAAGCTTCCAATAATAACTGATTCGCACAGGCGGAAGCAGGACCGAACTTTCAAACTGCCACCAAGAATCGTTTCTTTCTGTACTATCCAAGGACATAGAATACATCGTTGCCGATGCTTTAACGTGTTCTCAGGATAACGGAAACATCATTACGTCCGAGCAAAACGGCTTCTGCCGAAGGCAATCGTGCACACCGAATTTAATAATCGCATGAAGTAGTTTGACCCAGTCAATTGACGCTAGAGAAGACGTTGATGTCATATAACTGGATCCTTCGAAAACATTCGCTCGTCTAGAACATTGGATAAGGCATTGTAAGCGCTTGCAGTGGTATAGACCTCATCGTAGAGCTGCATGTTATTTCGGCTCTCGTTCGGAGTTAAGTCCATAATTACCACCTAGCTGAGCTTCTGAAGAGCCCCGGCGATCTACTTGTGCATTCAGATCCCCTGCACGCACCGTGATAATGAACCGGTAAAGCGGAGTAGTTGCGTGCTTCGTCCG